AGCTAGGCAGCTTTCTGGCGCAGCCATGACCCAATGGAACCTAAATACAGTTTGTCGTAGGATTTTGGGAAACTTTTACTTCTTGACTAGCTTTTTTTTTCTTTTTTCTTTTCTTTCTTCATTCCTCAAACTTGGATATTAGTTATGGCCCTGAAACCTGGAACAGTCATTTTGCAATCATAAGGGAAAAGCCTCATGAAAGACATGGTAGAGCAATAATTCAGCAGAGATCTTGATCTTGGAACAACGATTCCAACAACTGTTGCAGTGATTGTGTCATTAAAAATTATCTCATCATTTCATATAGTCCCTTTGTCACCCTCACTCACAGAACACACAGGGTCCTTTTTCTGCTACTTAATAGATGAGCTAGTCACTAAAACCCTAGAGGCTTGAGTGGAGCTTCATTACTATAGTAAATCTACGATGTACATAAAATCTCTCAATAATCTTTAAATAAAAGTTATTATTTTGTAGTAAATAAGACACTTGTAAATTGATTTTATCAAGTCTCTCATGTCTAAAAGCAACTAATTTTGAAATATGGATTTGAGTGTAATAGAGGAAAATTGGTTTACTAAGTGCTAGTACACATATTTTTCACTAAACTTATCTATTATACAGATTGAAGAAATGTCAAAGAAAAATTGCATGAAAAACAGAATAAGTTTTACTATTTTTATTTCACAGTCTGATATTATTCCAGCAAAATAAAACATTAACTGAACTGTGTCCATCATATCAAAATCAAATAGAAATAATCATTACCTTCATGCACAGCACAGGATATATATTGTACATATATTCTGTACATTATGTGTGTGTTTTTGCACATTTACATTAAATATATATATATATATATATATATATATATGGTTTAATAAATATACTGACAAATATTTCTAACATAGAATATTATCTAAAAGAGGGGCATATTCTCATGTACACATTATAGGTACTTAGAAAATTTCCAGATCCAAATTTTCCTTTTCATATATATAATATATACACACATATATTCTGTGTAGTGTGTTTGTATATACACTGTGTATTGTGTATGTGTGTGTGATGCAGGTTTTAAGGCTTTGATTCCTTGTTTCTACCCACTCACTCATAAAAGCAACTGTGACTAGACTATGATCTCATTGAAAATGGTCTAGAGGGCATGTAATGTGTAAGGTGCTTTGTGATTGCTAGGAATTTATCTTTTCAACTCAAAAAATCTATCTGTGATAACACAGCTGTGTGACTTTGGACACAATCCATGTAATGTTCCAAGTATATAATATATGTTATATATTATACATTATATATTTTGTTGTAATAGTTGCTTAATGTTACAATTATATGGTATGTGTTATATATTATACATCATATATTTTGTTGTAATATTGTTGCTTTTGTCATTAGGACTTTGGAGAGTTTAGATGTGTTGTCCACAGAAGTTAATCAGGTTGCCAATAGAACTTGTATTTAGGCCCCTGACTTTGATATTCAAATCTTCAAAAACTGCCACATTACCTGTCCATTGGCAACAACAGGAAGGGTTCTGTTATTAATAGTAACCTAGTGAAAGAACCACAGGTGTTTGGATCCTTCCTTATCTAAGGCCACCTATTGATGAGAAGAGAGAAGTACAAAGGTTGATGATTTTCTCTGAAGGTGACTATGAACTGAGGCAGAAATTTCTTTTCTGAGAGCAAAACTGTGTCTTTTTTACCATTTTCCTTTGGAAAGAAAAGAAGAAGTTTGAAAAACTTTTTGTTGTGCCAATTTTCCTGGCTTCATTCCCTAAATACCAAAATTTGCCACTGGAACTACAACTTGGATTCCCAAATAGTATTAACAAAGTGTGTCCCCAAAAATTTTGTTTTAAATGAATTGTTTTAGTATTATTGTATTCAGTAGTATATGTATTGTTACAATTAGTATTTCTTTTCATCCCTCAACAATTCTGAATTTTATGATAAATATGTAAAAGAATATAGGTGTAATGATTTCATGGCACCACAATTACATTTAACACATAAGAAGGGTGGAATACAAAATATTTAATTTAAATATTTTTAAAATTTACAACTACGAAAGATTTGTTGCTGTATTAGTAAAACTGTGTCAATCACAGCTAGTTTTCACCTCCAATGTATCCTTTGGGCTCATTCAATATTCTATCTTCTTACAGTCTGATAATTTCATCAACTCTGAAGTTTATATCTTGCCCACACAATGTAAGTGCTCATTAGCTGGAGAAAGTACTCCTTAAATACAAGTAACTAACGTTAGATGATTCATCATATAATATCAAATTATAATAGACATGATTTCTAAAATTACAAATTTGAAACCATGATATTTCTTAAAATCTTTTTGTCTATACTCATGTCCTGAGCAATACAGATCAATTTATTTTAAATTTATTTGTCAGATATGTTAGAGCTGTCAGATACTATGTTAAAGAATGGAAAATAGATACATAAAATATAAACAGAAACATAAAATTGTTAAATAATTAGCCATTGGATGATCTCAATTCTGTAACTTTAAATGTGCACATAATACAAAATTTAATTATATGCTCTTATTAAGATTATATTATATATTATATGCTCTTATTAAGATTTCATGGCTCCTTATGTTCAAAAGTAAATGATAATAAGGCTGGGGTTCTGGGTCAGTGGTAGAGTTCTTGCCTAGCATGTGTGAGGCACTTGCTTCAATCCATGGCACCACATAAAAATAAATAAAATTATTGTTCATCTATAACTTAAAAAAATAAAAATATATTTTTTAAAAGTAAATGATAATAAATTACATGGATTGTTGCTAGAGCTAATTTGTTCTAGAATGAGCAGAATTTTCTTTCTGATATTCCACAAGATTATTTGATTTCAGGGAGAATAAAACATTAATGGATATGTAAGATTYCCATAGGTGAAATATCAGCACAGCAGTGCCTGGCACTAAGGACATCTATTACTCCTCTGGATTTCACACTAGCTCTGTAGCAGGAGTGACTCAATCAAGGGATCGGTATAGATGCAAAGGCAGCCCTTATTCTGGAAAAAGGACAAGTGCCTGGATCAGGAAAGACAACTGGGAATTGAGAACCAAGTCACAGAGCTAAGGCAGGTTATRAGATTTACAAGACATGCAAGCAACAGATAATTATAACATTAGTAATTCCTTAATGCAGAAATAAATAAGTAAAAAGTCATTAGTGGAAACTGAGATGTAAATAGATTTCTTTCTCTGATAGGTACATGGAGGTTGAACTTAAATTTTTGACCATTCAGACATCACTATTTAACTATTAATGCATAATTGCTAATGACATAGGCGAAGGCTCTAAATTTGTGAGWATAGCATACACACTCAAAGAGAAACATCTTAATTTTTTTTYMRGRAAAAAAAATGCACATGATTTTTTTTTTTGTGACTGGCTTTCTTAAATATGAAAGAACAATTTTTTCTTTTGTAAACAATTAAATCCAAATTGGTAATCATGTAATTCATTTCAATATACTCTTTATCAACCTTTGGATGAAAAATGTGTTTTTGTGACATAAAACTTTATCATATTTAGTTAACTAAAGTGGCAGTTTGTAAAATTTCTTTATAAGACTTACATAATATTTTAACTCCTTTCTTCTTTTCTCTGTTCTTTGTCATGTTACAATGCTTCAAGGATGGTTTTAAACTATTGCAGTGTGTTCTAAGAGTCCTACAATCTCAATTATCTTACTATTTCATATATTCATTTAATATAAACCCTTCTCCATAATATCTGCTTATTTTTCTAAAAAAAATTGTTTCAATACTATTAGGATGCAGAAACCACTTTGATGAAATTTTCTTCTGGTTTCTCTAGAAAAATCTCTCAGAAGTCTTTTTATATTTGCAGGATGATTTGCTTAATCTATTGGGGCATAACTTTTTTAACATAAATGTATTTTTCAGCACCAAATTCAATAGAAGGTACAGAGATTTCCTATATATACTCTACACAGGCAGAGCCCTTCGAAATTGATTTCATTGACTAACAATATGCATGTAAGTTTCCGCCATCTATTTTAATGCATTTATGACCCATTGCATATTACCATTGAATAATTATCCAGTGCCTGTATATATCAGTGTTTTTGTTTTGGAGGTGCTATGTCCACACAATTAATGAAAGACAAATTTGATTCTTCCAGTTTGGGAGAATTATAAAGTTGAATATTATAAATATAATTATGCAATTACAAGATAATTTGCATSTTGCTTTTTAAAAAATTAATTTGTGTGTTTCTAAGCAATTTTTGTCTTTTAATTWTTTTTCTTTCATGGTATCAGGATAGTTCTTTGGATGAGATGCAATGCCTAGCCATTTGTTTATATAATTTAACCATGAATRGGCAGGATAACACATTTTATAATAAAGTTCTTTAGGAGTTATGGGAAATGCTATAACATTTGGGATAATACATGCTAGTCGATAACAGTATTTCTAGCATTCACAATTATTGCCTTCTTCCTTTCACTAGTTATCCTTATGCTTTCAATGGAAGTTCAGGAAATTGGAACCCATAGATCCACTTCATAACATAATCTACTTGGCTGATTTTGTTGTCTCCCAAGTGATTTCTGATTGCGACAATATGATGTGAATRTATATGTCCTATGAGAAACTAAAAGAGAGCATTTCAATCATGTCTCAATTTCCCTAGTACTACAAAGTACATGTCATTTTATGTTTCAACAACAATGCCCATATTTTAAAAGAAAATTATCATTTTAAACATTTGTATAATATTTAACTTATTGCTCAAGAACCACCTAACTTGTTTTAGTTCAGATGATTTTTATGAGCAAGTAACTACAYCTGTGTCATCTTACTTTACTAGTCTACATCCTAATGATGTCATGCATTGTGTTAAAGACCTTTGACAGAGTTTCTAGCTACTTAATTCACATCTAGTCCTTTTTATTTTATACGTGAATAGCTGATAATCTTTCAATTAACTCTTTGTTTCCTTTGAGAACATATTATGAAACCAAACTTTTCTCATGGCATTTTTCATCTCAGTATTTCTCAAAGTATATATCAAGGGATTGAACATGGGAGCAATGATTGTGTAAAATAAYGCGACCACTTTATCCTCAGGGAAAGCGGTAGGAGGTCTAAGGTAGGAAAATATTGCAGGCCCAAAAAATAAGACTACCACTGAGATATGAGACACACAGGTAGAGAGGGCTTTGCRTCTTCCTTCAGCTGAGTGATTTCTTAAATGGAATAATATGATGGCATAAGACAGAAATAAAATAAGAAATATAACTAATAGGATCACGCCTGAACCAACAATCACAAAGATACCATCCACATAGGTATCAGTACAGGCAATTTTTAACAAAGGAAAAATATCACAAAAGTAATGATCAATTTCATTTGGACCACAGAAGGGCAACTGCATTGTCATGGRTAATTGRAGAAAAGCATGGGCAACCCCACCAGCCCAAGCAGCTAAAATTAGGAAGTTGCATTTTGTCCTGTTCATGATAATCATATAGTGGAGAGGTTTGCAGATGGCAACATAGCGATCAATGGCCATGGCTGTAATAATGAAGATYTCACTGCTGCCAAAGAAGTGCATGGTAAAGACCTGTACCATGCAATAACCATAGGAAATGGTTTGAGTCCCCTCTAGCAGGTCACAGATCAATTTGGGTGTAACACTGGAGGTATAGCTGATATCCATAATTGATAACTGGCTAAGGAAATAGTACATGGGTTGGTGAAAATGAGGGCTGCATAGAATGGAAATGAGAACCACAAAGTTTCCTACCAGCAGGGCAATAAAGCAGAGTAAAAAAAGCACAAAGCAAAATATTTGCACGTTCCTGTCATCAGAAAGTCCCAGAAGAATAAATTCTGAGATGTTTCTCTGGATTTCCATATATTAAGTTGGGTATATGTTTTGCACAAGTAAATTTAATATCTGAAAGAAAGAAAGAAAAACAGAAATTTAAGTGAAAAATGAACAACCTGATCTCCATACTACAAAATGTACTAAAAATTAAATTAACATGAACAGAATCATAACGTTAAGTAGTGTATATTTATAAACAATTGCTGTTTCTTATTTATTATATGTCATTTTACAGACTTAATTTTGTATAAATTTATTATTGGCTAGCAGAAATAATTATGTATTTTTCTCAGTCTTACTTTTAAAATAATGAATCTTATTTTGAAAATTAAAAACATTACAGTTATTCATATAATTAGATAAAATAGAAGCTGAAATCTTCTAAGACAAGAAAAATTTTAAATGATATGAATATTTCTCTCAGCATAAATTTAAAAGGGGAAATGGAATATTCAAGTGAGAATAATTATAATAATTAAAACAAATTAATTTTCTTGCCAATGGTCATAGCAAAGAAAGCTCTGAAGAAAATTAAAACAATAAAATAAAGGGTATTAAGCAATCACTGAACAAGAAGTAAGGACAGTGGTAGAAGGGTACACACAAGAAGAAAGTAAAATGAGCTGATTAATGTGATCCTTGAGCTAATTGTCATGCTCTCCAAGCCTTGTTTTCCTCATGTGTACCACTGAGACAGCATTACATGATCAGAAATACAATGATGGATCCATGAAGTGTTGTCAAATACCTGAGTGTCCTGCAAGGTTGATGACCCATAGCTATTTTTCTCCTATATTTTTTCTTCTTTGAGTAGTTCAGCAGCTAATAAGTTGGGATGCACACACATACTCCAGTGAAGAAATAAATTGAAAAATAGCACAGTGTTAGCACAACACAAATTTAATGAATTTGATCAGGTAGACTTCAATATTGATATTCTGTTGGTAAATAATAGTAATATAGACTATTGAGAGATTGATTATTTTAGGATATTTATTAAAACAAATCATAACACTGTTATAATTTATTTATTCATTCATTCTTTCTCTCTCTCTCCTCTTTAGTATTTACACCTTTAAACATATAGTCAAATTAATCCTTTATTTTTAGGATTATTAAATAATAATTCTGTAAGAATAGTTACTTGGTTATAAACATTATAGTTGCTCATATTTAAAGTACAATTTCTATCATATATTTAAATATTGTTATCATAYATGCTTGTGACATGTTTAAACTCATCTCAATCAGTTTAGATAAAAGTTGTGTATCATAAGGTTACATTTATTTTGAAAAATGAGAACTTTTTTAATGAGCTAAAATTCAAGCAGTTCTTCATTGATATATACAGGCAAGAAAAYTGGTAAGAACAGAGCAAAAACCATGGCTATCTTAAAAATGTSTTTAACTTCACTGTTTCTAACTGAAATTTTCCTTATAATGAGCACTATAAAAAATAAAGATGACCAAAACATTTTGTAGTAACAAAATTATCATATGCTACAAAAGCATTAATAATATTTACAATAAAATTTCATAGAAAATTTTGAAGAGTATGTCACCAACATAGTACTCGGTTGGTAGAACTCTCCACAAACCCAGTTGCAGGCTTAATTCACCAACCATCAGGTCTGAATGAGCTTAGTTTAGATTCAGGCTTTATCAAGCACAGTTCCTCCCTCAGATACTTACCTGCCATTTGTCCCTTTATGAAAATCTGAAATAAAAGGCAGAAATTTGCAAGCAGGCATTCAAACACATCAACATTGATTATCTGAGAATAGTTTGGAAATCTTAACACCCTAAACTTTCTATAGGGTTTGCAAGAGAAATATCTTTTAGTTATTAGCCAAATCCATCTGCAATGTAAAAGATGGAGTGTTATCCACAAGAAAAGCAGATGGGAATTCTGAATATCTAATGAACTTTTTAAAATGAGCTCAATTGGATAAAAAAAAAAAATACGTTGAAATTTCTTCAGAAATCAACACACATATTAAGCCCAAAGAGTCATCTATTTTATGCTCATGGCTCTGAGGGTTAGTTTAGGAAAAGCAGAATATAAACTTACGTGTCAATTCAAGAATTAATACATTTTTTAAAACCCTAAGATTATTCCCATAGGTGTTTCTAAGCAGCCCCTGGACAAATACAAGACTCTGCCCATTGTAATGTCCCTGACGCCTCTGAGTATGTACTTTTTCACTTTTGAGTTTTTCTAGTACCTACACTATTTCCCCTAAGACCTTAATGTGCTACATTCAGGGCAGTTCAGCAGACTGCCCTCTCTGTGCTCCTCCAGGTTCTGAAGCATTGGAGAGAAATAATAATGTAGCCTGTAACGGCATGAGGCTAGCTTTCAGAAACCAAAGTCAGGGAATCACCTTTCAAATCTGGATAATTATGAAAATCCTAGTGGTGCAAATAGATTAATAAAATCAGTGATTCACAAGTCATTTGTTGCCTGGAAATAGCATTGTGGTAATGAAGGGCTGTGAAATGACAGACAAAGTAGAGGAAAAAAATATTAAACGTTGTTTATGTATACACTGTGCATGGAAAGAATAATGTATCACTAAAAAGATATCAAAACAATCAAAAGAAAGCTACAAAATATTTATTCTGTTGATTATTCGGTTTTCTGTGTCTATTTAATATTCACAGTGCTTTAACCTCACCTTCATTTGCACACAATGATGTGCAGTTATTCTCACCTCCTCTAACATATACAAATCCACAGATTTAAAGTTTCGTCATAGATTTCAGACTTCATAAATTCAAATTACATGGTATAATCTCAGGTTAGGATTAAGCCACTTAGGAATTTAATGAAGAACAATCAATTAAGAGACTATTGGGTGGTTTATATTCTTTATTTTATTTTATTTTATTTTACACACAAAAAATGTGCATGGTGACATGAGTTATATATTTAATTTATGAGGATAGACTCACAGAATCTTCTCGACTTTTAGTAAGTAGCTGAACATCTACTAAAAAATAGAAGGGGGACAATGGGTATTTCTAAGTTTAATACCTGCTACAAGTCTTTGAAAGTGAAGTTATTSTGAGTATTCTACAAATTTAGGAGACAACATTAAATCCAATGTTTTACTGGTCCTCATGTCAATATATTTTCACATATTTATCAAACTTCACTCAATCTAACCTGTTATCAATCCACAGGAGAGAGGTGGACATTTAACCTACCTCTACATGCATATATTAGGATTCAGCTCAAGGATATGTGCTGGTGCTGCATTCACATCCTCAAAACTGAATTCATCGCTAGCCACATATCTTGTTCTGTTAAACACACTTTTAGCTTTAATGCAGTGGCATATGTCACTTTTATGACTCCTACTTTGTGCATAGTATGTAATATTATTTGCATAATCCAAGATTTCAAGGATCTTCTTTTTCTTTTGAAATAGTAATGTGTATGTAAATCCATAATTAAAATTTTACCAAGAGTGACATATAACAGGAAATTTTTCTATTTGTGCTTTTTGCTATTGTTGTTTTCATTTTGCTTTTATGTTTTTGTTCCACCGACATTTGTTGGAAGGATTTTCTTTTTCTTTTCCTGAATTGCCTATAAACTTTCATCACTAATCAGTTGAGCATATATCACTTTTCTAATTTTGGATTTCTTAGCCTGTTCCATATAAAGGTATATGTGAATGTGTGTGTGTATGCATGCACACACACACACACACACACACATGCACACATAGATATATGTTAAAGCACATGTGTATTTTTTTTAAAGAATTTAACCTTTATTTTATTTATTTGTTTTTATATGGTGCTAAGGATTGAACCCAGGGCCTTACCTATGCTAGGAATATACTTTACCAGTGAACTACAACTGCAGCTCAGTGTGTTCCATTTTTGTATTTGGATATTGTTAGGAAAAGAGTACAATTATTTGAACATAGAAGCTTCACAATATACCTTGAAAAAAGGTAGTATAATTCTCCAAATTTGTTAATCTTTTAAATTCAAGAAAATAACTTAGTTMTTTTGTATTTCAATATAAACCAAAGAATTGGGAAATTTCTAACTGTAACTCATCTCAGTATAAATATTTCTTCAATGATATCTAGATATAGAATTATTAAACATAGAGTCCTAGTTTGTCTGAGCAGGAACAAAATAATAAATCAGAATATGGCTTACATAACTATCATGGCATAGCTCATTTGTAGTAAATCTCAAACAGTAGGAGAGCAAAATAATCTTAAGTGGTGAAAAGTGAATATCATTAGACATGATAATATGTGGCTACGAAGATATTAGCAAGTGTCCTTCACAGCTAGTTTTAGCCTTCAATTTTACTTTGCCCCATTCAAGACTTCTAATATTAATCCATCTTAATTATATTGACAATCCTGTGGCTTATGTCATGTGCTTGTGGACGTCAGCTAAGTTAACACATCTCTATACTATAATAAAATATTGATATTTTTTTCAATTACCAATCAACTCCTGTAAAATGGAACAGAATTACTTAAATTAACCATTTACAACAACAAAACTTTCTTAAATATTGTGCATTTAGTCACACACTGAAAAATACATTTTATCAATTAGTGTTATATAYATACTTTGCAAATATTTTTGTGGACATTTGACATCATGCTACAAACTATCATGTGATGGAAAGTGACTCCTAAAAAGATCACCTAGCCAGGGAGGTATTCAATATAGAGGGCTAGAGAAGAGCTGATTTCTGTATGCTGTATGGTTCAGGATTCAAGTAGCAGAAATACTGCTTCTCTGTGAGGTGGGTGAAAGAGGGATTTCACTAAAACTCAATATTGGACAATCAGTATGTCTTAGAGATTCTGAAATTTAGGTACATTAAACAAGGAAGAAAGACAACATCGGAGCCAAGCTGGTGGGGGCAGCAGCAGCATCAATGGTACTGGCACTGGGTCAGCAAAGGGGAACATAGAGAAACACTATTTTTGTATGGATTTTGCATAGAAAGATCTGAGATGAGCAAAGCAGCCTGCCCTTAG